AGGCCTCCCGTGGGGGGTCGCCTCCGTATCCTTACGGAACGATGGAGGCGAGGGACCCGCGAACGCGGCGCTGACGCCGCGTTCGCGGGTCCTTCGCCTCCGTCGTTCCCGGAGGAGGCGGAGAAGGTGAGCGCCTTGCAGACACTGCCGGTGAGTGAGGCCCGGTCGGGGTTAGGGGCGAAACCCTCTTGCGTCTTCACTGCTCAGCTCTCGGGTTGTTAAACCGCTACTCTCGACGGTTTTCAGATCGACGTGCAGCTGAACATCATGTCCTATCTCTCACCCCAAGATTTGTGCCATTTGGGAAGCACGAGTTGTTACTGGAGGGCTGCTGTGCAAGATCCGTTGTTATGGAGGTATTTTCTCCTGAGGGATCTCCCTTTTTGGACATCTGTTGATTGGAAATCACTCCCAGATGTGGAGATTTTTAATAAAGCCTTTTCAGAGGTCAGCGATAATGCGCTGTATGATTACATGGCAGTGTAAGTATCTCCATATTCTCTTGCACAACTTAACTACAGCAGTAACCTACAGGCTTGTTTCATATTTGCAGCAGTAACAGTGTGCTTTAAGCCACCACTTAAATCTGTGATGTCTCAAAATCCACTTTTTAATTTGGAAATACAGTTGCCTGGTTTTGTTTGACAGTTTGTTCAGCTCTTTCTGTTTGGAATAAAACAATGTAAAAGGTTGGAACAGTCAAAGCTAACATTATGAACAAAATTAAAACCTGTAAACTGCATGTTTACTATGCCACAGAAATATAGTCCTCTCAGAAGCTGTGTGTACTGTTAATCTTGATAAATATGTGTTCTTCACTCTCAGTACAATGACATGATTTCTTATAATAAAAGTACTAAGAAGTCTTAAAACTGCAGCAAGTGGAATGAATTTTTTTTTTTTTCCATCTTACCTCGCAGACCTACGGGAAAAAAAAAAGAGGATTTCCATGTATGTGCACAGAGTAACAAGTAGCATTGCTTTAGCTCAATGGGTGTAAGACAGACTGTGGTTTCTGCTGGTATAGTTGAAAAACACAGCAACATTCATAATGTGTTTGGATGTCTGAGAAGATCTCTTAAGCAGGTTAATTTGTGTGGTGGGTTTTTGTTGGGTTTTTTTTTTTTTTTCTTGTTTTAATTAATTTGCAGGTTTGTTTTGGTTTTTGGTTTTTTTGGGGTTTTTAAATTTGCAGTTAAATTTTCCAAACATGATCTCGTGAAGCTTTTGTTGCTTCAGGATATGTGCACTAACCTCTGCAATCTCTGTGCACTTCATCTGTACTTTACAGATGGGAGAGGCGCAACCGGAATTTGAAGTGCAGAATATCTACTGAACTGATTTTGAACATTGGATTTAAATCTCTTTAAATTCAGGCCAAACAGGCCTGAATACTGTTCAGCTGAATCACATATTGGGAATCACCTATCACTGATTCCCATTGTGTCCGTGAGCACTTAATGGTTTTGCTGATGTCAACTGAAGAAGCATCTCAGTTTAGGCGTAGGGGAGCCCATCTTTAAGGTTTCCTAGAACAGGTTTGTCCAGCAGCAGCCTACTGTGACCACAGAAGCAGAGACTGAACCTACTATTGTAAGATGTCTCACTTGTATGACTGTTACCTCTTCCCCTTGATTACCAAAGCCTTTCCATGCCTTCCAGTTTCTGCATCAAATGAGCACATCATAAGCTTGCAGACAACACTTCTCCTTTCACAACGTGCATTCTCTGTGCCTACATGGGAAAAGGTCCTTTTTAGGTGGAGTCACCTGCTTACTGGTTAATACGTTCAAAAGCAGTCTAATTCCGGTTTGAAATGCACTCATAAGTCTCATACTTTTTCTACTGTATGTGACTCGTCAGCTTTGATGTTATTTTACCAATATATTGTGTTCAGTGAGGGTGGGGGAATTTGCAACTTAGTTTTCTGTTTTAAAGAAAATCAAAAGATCCATAGACAGAAGTGCACAAAGGTATATGAAGTCAGTATTTGGACTTGAGAAAGACTGATGCCTTTTACCTGCTTGAAACCATCAGTTTGGAACTTCCATCATTTTTAACGTGTGCTTGAGTTGTAACAAATCATGAGAAGTGTGGGACCTAAATCAATTTATGTTGTTTGGTTAATATCTCTTTTGTATTTGTGTTTAATTTCTAGTTGCATCTATTTTACACAGATACAAAAAAAGCTGTCCCCAGAGCAGAAGAAGTTTGAAATCAAGCCGTCCCCGGTACGGGGCCGTCACTTCCTTTTTGCAATCACTGGTCACTCAGGCAGAACCTCGCTTTGCTATGTTTGGGCCAGGTTTGGAAGAGCTGGACAACTCTTTAGTGCAGAAGATGATGACATGCCCAGAAATTCTACTGGTGGCTGGCCTACCTCAAAGACAAATTCATGGTAATGCTGGCTTTGTTTTCGGCTTTTTTATTTCGTAAATAGATGTAGCACAAAAAAACTTTGAGGAGAAATGGAAAAAAAAGGATACTTTATTCTTCACTTGAAACTCACAATAATGGTAGAAAAATCATCTATCTTTGTATTGCTTTGGATAATTGCAGTGAACATTTGGGATAAAATTATGGCTTCAGGGAATTTATGATTAAATTTGGGCACTGCCAGAGGATTCATTTTGCTCCTTGTAGTTCTATTCTGATCCTGAATTCCATGTCACACTGGCTGTTGTAATGGATAAATGCAGACAGAACTTCTTTACATACTGCTTGCAGTAAGTGGCTGAAAACAACACTTGTGTTTTTATACAGGAAGTCAAGACTGATCCTTTATTTTTATATGCTTTCTATACGATTCAGTATTTTGGAGTCAAATGGTGTAAATTTAATTTAGAAGAGTTACAGGAGGAGGGAAGGATTTTTTTCAGTGTTTGAAAAGATAGTTTTGAACATCTGTAATTTTACTTCAAACCAGAGTAAAAAATTTCTTAATTTTAACTAATGTTTATTTCAGCACAGCAGAATTTAAATAATTAAACTGTTTATAGAAAGTGTAAGAATCTGGTTTCTTAGTGGTGTTATCTTTATTCTCTCTCATGTCCTTTTCAGTACAGTGTGTAGTAAACAAACTAGAACCTTTCATATGTCTATTTAAGCTAATGTATCAAGTCTAGCTGCTCTCTGACCTAGGTTTCAAGGTTCAATCTAAGTATCAGAAACACGGAAATGCCTCCTTGTGATATTTTAGTACCATATAATTGATTTTAGTTAAATTGTCTGATCAATCAGAGCACATATAAAATTTATTTGTAAAATAGAAACTATGCTGCCCTTAACAGCAACACCTAGGCTTGGATGAACCCATTTTAGAGCACCACTGAAATTTTCAGCCTACCACTTAGTTGAATTCAGTAACCAAATAGTTGTAACCTCATATAATCATTTTTCCCCTGTAGGAATTGGATCAGGAGTCAGTTTTCAGCTTAATAACAATCAAAAATTCAATATTCTGACATTGTATTCAACCACCAGGTAAGATATCTTCTGCACCAAAAAAACCCAAAAAACGGAAGTACAATTTCTAGGTTAGTTTATACTTCTCCTCATGTTTTCATGATGTGATTTTTATGTGTGCGTTCACGTGCATGGATATCCCTTACAAACTGAAGCTTCAGTGCGTATCTTCACTTTCTCCAACAGTTGAATTTTCATGTGGACATAATAAATGTCCATGAAAACCTTTCCAAACCTTATACACAGCAGACTGGTATGACAAATACATGACTGGTGCTTCTGTCTCACTTGATACCTTGATCGACTCCCTTTTGCAACAGTATATAAACTCATCCTGGGATGTATTTTCATATGCATCTTTCAAATTGCTAACCATCTGCGTAGGTACACTAGTAAAGAAGTGAGGATGGGAGCAGGCGGGGAGAAAGGAAACTGTTTTGCTGGCTCAGGCAGTTTTCTTTCCCTCTCCTGTGCTGCCTAAACTCACAAAATGCAGTTTTTGAATTCTCAAATAAGCTGACTACGGAAATACTGAAATATCTTTCAGTGTGGAAAGGAGGAGAGCAAGGGCAGAGCAAGCTGTTGCTGTGAATAAGATGTTCTACCAAGAGAACAGCATCGTAGGGAACCAGCAAGCCGTGCACTACAGCGTAATAGCTCAAGTGAAAAAGGCGTGCGAAGTAGTGGATGGATTCATTTACGTTGCTAATGCAGAAGCTCATAAAAGTAAGGGGTTTCTTTTTATTCATATTTTGCGAATGATTGGAACATCATAAAAGATGCAAAGAATGTGCAATGCATCAAAATCCATGTTCTGATTCTTTAAAAATTTGATTCACTAATGCTATTTCTTCATGGGTTATCCAGTAGAAGAGGTTCCCTATCCGAGACACTCTTCATCATTTCCCATTGAGGAGTTATGGCCCCTTTTTATGGCAGATACTGATACAGTTGCTATCTAAGCTACATGTGGAAAATGATCTTGATTAAAAATAAACCAAAACTAACAAAATAACAAAACCAAAAAGAAAAAAACAACCCAACCCCGGAAGAACATAGGCATGGCTAGGAGAAGCAGCCTGAAATGCACTGGTGGTGGCGTAATATCCTTAATAGCCTTGAAACAGAACCTTCACTAGGAAAACTGCAGTAAAGATGCAATTAGTCCAAATCAGGATAAGAGGATAAGCCAAGTACCCATTCTGGTAATTGTCTTTACATTCATGAACTTTAAATGG